TTTCACTGTACTCCCATCTCGATAGATCGCGTTTTGTTGAATTTTTCTTCTTGGGCCGACCTCTCGGATTTTCCTTCACTGCAGGTTCTGTGTATCCCTGTTGATCAGGGTGAAGCTGAGAGTCGATGAGATGGTTCAGGTACCGTACAGTCGCAGGATCGGCCGCTTCAACCTCCTCGGCAAGCCTCCGAAAATAATCATGATCAGTCCATCCACTCGCCGATGCACTCTGCTGACCTGTCTGTACCGAAAATTTAAAGAATTATACAATGTGCTTTATCAAAATTTCTATAAATTAAACTAAATTTAGGAGAAAAAAAATGTTCAGCATGATGTTCTATAGATTTATTAATCTCGCAATTTATACCTGGCTGCGTCACCTCTAGTGTGCTCCAGAAGATGTGGATGTTGTCGGTCGTAATATTTCTACGTACAGTGTGTGCCTCCCTTAGCTCACAGGCACAAGGAAGTCCATGAGTGTATTTTAGTGCACAATCGCAGCGCTCCGAAACATCTTTGCCGAAGTCTCGCATCTTCTGAAGCTCATCATTCAATATATCCATACAGTAATACGAGACCCGCAGTGTCAACTGCTCGAAAGGGAATCCCCTGAAGCCCGTACTCATCCTAAGTCTCGAAGACTCCAGCGTCTCCCTGGTAATACATTACATAACATAACATTCGACCCAATTAAAATTTATAATTAATGCATTAATAACACAGTCTTACTGTATAAATTAAAAAATATACCTGACTTTAGTCAGTTGAGAATCAATCTCCTTGTCAATCTTCTCCCAAACCGTGTCGAGCGAACCAGTCGACGTGTTAAGCCACCGCTTCAACGTAGCGTGGGAACTCTCCACCCTACACGACGTTGTGTTGCCAAAATGTAAGACAGTGTCCGTCCACACTTTGACAAATTTCTCTTTGTGCACTAGCCATGTCTGATCCACATATTCCAGCACACGAGGAAATGCCGCGTATGTAACAGCCAAATCAGTTGCGGCAGTTTTGTATTTGTCCCACGTGTTTGCCTCGACAACCTTCTTCCATTTGCCATGCGTGAACTTCTGCGCGAAGATCTTATTTTTAGTTGTGGTTGTCGACGTTAATCGATAGACCCTGTCTTCCACATCCTTGTTGATGTGCTACGTGCAGAGTAAGTGGGGCGTCGTCGAAAAATTCCTCTGAATAGGAGTGATCAACCCTAACTCCCTGTCACTGACAATGACTGTAGGATCTACATCAGGCCCTATCAAAAGTCTCAACCGCTGTAGGACCCAGTCATAGCTGTACTCGGTCTCGTCCTTGATAATTGCATAAGCAATTAAGAAATTCTTGTTGCACGGCGTCATTCCAATCATCTCAACCAACGGCATGTGGTACCTGTGCAAATGAAAGCAGCAAGAAGAAAAAACATAGAATCAAAAAACTTACTCAACCATACTATTTTAAGATTCACATTATATTACTATTTATAACTTAATGTAACATACCTGTTGGTTTTGTACGTGGAATCTATACCGACATACCAGTAATATGTCCGGAATAGACTGGCTGCTCCTGGATGCGACATGAACACACGTGTCAACTCCTGTGTGTTCGGGTCAACATCTGTGTAAACTATGTAGTTGCGGCCCCTAGCCAAATGCAGAAGCTGGCCAACAATATCTCTACCCTCCAGACGGTCTTTTCGCAATTGACGTCTATAGTTATACACTTGTCGGCAAGTAGCGTTGTCCACTGGGTTTTTCTCCTGAATTGTAGCCAATATTATTCCCGGTCTTGCCTGAGCATCAGTCATATCACGGACAATCTCTTTGTATGAATCGCTGAGTCGGCTCATCTGTCGATGACCCTTGGGATGCACAGCCAAAGCATGATTATGAAATCCCTTCTCGTCTTCCAAAGGAAGCCAGATACTCCATTTTTTGGAATTTGCTTCATATTTGACTTTTATCAGAAAAGGGCAGCCAATAAATTTAGTCTTCGAACGTCTCAAAACAGCATTCACAACATTTCCTAGTTTTCCTGCCTTGCCTCTGTAACGTTCCCCTCGATGACACCTCAACGTCCGAACCATTCCATCTTTTTCGTGTCTCGAGATGACCAATTCGAAATTCCATATCAATGCAATGTCCTTTGCCCATTCAATAGCTTCCTCATGACTATCAAATAGTTCATTTGTAGCAAAACAAGATCGGTAATCTTCACCGTCTCCTCCAAAATCTTCGAGTGGCATCTGCAATATGTTACGATGTATGTTAATAATGTTACAAAATTATGAATTATAACTTCTCTCAAATAATAATAGTAATTTGTAATTTATTATATAATCAATTCTAACTTCTAACGTTATATCAATAAATTTTACGTTATAAGATAATACATTTCTATATATTAATAATTTATACTAATATAAATTTTTTCTATTACATAATTTTATACTATTAATTTAATACTAAATACTAATATTATTTTTTTATAAATACTTTCTATTAGTATATA